GAGAGGGAGGGAGGGAGGGAGGGAGAGAGGGAGAGAGGGAGGGAGGGAGAGAGGGAGGGAGGGAGGGTGGGAGGGTGGGAGGTAGAGAGGGAGAGATTGTGCATTCACTGCTTCTCTCCTTAAATGCCTGCAGCAGCCAGGGCTGGGCCAGACCAAAACTAGGAATTTACAACTCCATCCAGGTCTCCCACATGGGTGACAGGGACCTGAGGGCTTGGGCCATCCTCTGCTGTTTTCCCAGGCGCATTAGCAGGGAGCTGAGTGGGAAGTGGAGCGGTAGGCACTGGAGCCGACCCTCGGATGCTGACGTTGCAGGCTGTGGCTTACCTGCTGCTGTGCCACGTTGCTGGCCCCACGTTATGGTTTGTTTGTTGTTTTAAAATTATATCGATCTAAGAAACAGACCTGCCGCTTGCTAGTTTTCTCATCCAGTGCCCGCAGTGGCCCTGGACCAGGCTGAGCCAAAGCAGGGAGCCGGGAACTCGATCCAGGTGTCCCCGTGGTGGCAGGGACCGAGCCACTTGAGGTTTTACCTGCTGCCCCCAGGCTCTGCTTTAGCGGGAAGCTGGAGTCGGGAGTGGAGCTGGGGATTACAACAGGGCACTCTGATGGGGGACACGGGCTTAAACGCTAGGCCGTTACTCAGTCCGTACTGCATTGCAGTTTTCTTGGCTTTTCCCTGATAGCATTTTCCGTCCCAGATGGCGTCCACGATGCTGTGTGACGTCGACCTGGAGTCGTCCTGGCTCCCTGGGCTCCTTGTGTGGGTGACCCTGGCAGTCTTGGGGAGCACAGGTCCGGGGTGCTGCAGGCTGCCCCGTGGGCATTTGTCTAGTGGAATGGGGCGAGGGAGGAAGAGCACAGGGGTCAGGCGCCCTTCTCATCGCGTCCCATCGCTGCCCGGGCAGCCGATTCCTCATCTGTCCCATCGCTGGCCGGGCAGCCGATTCCTTCTCATGGCGTCCCGTCGCTGGCCGGGCAGCCGATTCTTCATCTGTCCCGTCGCTGGCCGTGCGCTCAACTTAAACGGCTTTGAGTGTTTGTGCTGCTTGCCCTCTGTCAGGTGGGGAGAGCCAGCCTCTGCCTGCAGAGCGCACCCTGGTGGCTGCCTCTGGAAGCCTGATCCGAGTCTGCGCCGCTGCCTGACTGGGCGGCACCCGCCCCCGGCAGAGCCAGCTGTGCTGGGTGGTTCGGATGTGAACAGCAGAACTGCGTGGTCACGCCGGCCTCAGGTCCGGGCTGAGCAGGCGGCTGGGTTGGCTTCGCCGCGACTGCTGCTCCCTGCGTCTTCACGGATCAACCCTCTGCAGACGCCTGTACCCCCGCCTCTTCTCGGGACACCCCCGTCTTCACTTCATCGCCTCCGTACAGACCCGGTCTCCGAGCCCAGCCGTGGAGGGACACGGTTCAGCCGTGCCATTCCCCTCAGGGCTCCTGTGTCTCAGCTGGCGGCAGGGCCAACCCCACACGGGCCTGCAGATTCGAGGTTCTGCCCGGATCCATCCTCGCCTCCCTGCCCTTGGAGGGGGGGCAGTGCTTCCCCCCTGGGAAAGAGCCTCTGCCCTGGATCTGCTCCCGCCGTGCCTGCCAGGCGCAGGGGGCTGCAGCACCTGCTTGCAGGCGATTGCTGGTCGCTGCGTAGCCAGGGCGACCTCGCGGCCACTCGGGACAGCAGCTCCGTGCTTTGGGCAGTTGCTGTGTGCTGGGCTCCGGGCCGAGGTCCTCACAGGCTCTGACTTTGACTCCTCTCTCATCCCATTTCCCAGCTGAGAAAACTGAGGAAGTGGGTTGGACAGTGAGAGCAGTAAGGGCGCGCCTTCTCCGCAGACCTGCCCCTCGGGCCCTTCCTGGGGCAGCTGGTGCCGTGGACGCGGCTGCCGGCCCCTCCTCGTACAGCCTTCCTTTTGCCTCCATTTGGACAAGTGGCAGACATGGCTGTGTGCTGACAAACGTGGCCCAGTCGCCTGTACTCTAGAGGTTGTAGCGGTGCGGGTGTGGCGTCGCTCTGCCGTCCTCGTCACCACCTCGGTCCATGTCCCTGAGCGTGTCGATTCATTGTACCAGTTTTCAAACTTCCTATCAAAAAGCATAACATGGATGCATTCTGGAATGTATTTCTTTTTTAAAGATCTATTTATTTGAAAGGAGAGTTACAGAGAGAGGGGGTGAGATCTTCCATCCTCTGCTTTGCTCCCCAAATGGTGGCATCAACCAGGGTTGGCCAGGCTAAAGCCAAGAGCCAGGTTCTCCATCCGGGTCTCCCACTTGGGTAGCAGGGGCCCAAGCACTTGGGCCATCAACTGCTGCCTTCCCAGTCACATTAGCCAGGAGCTGGATTGGAAGCAGAGCAGGTGGGACTCGAACTTGTGCTCATGTGACGCCGGCCTCACAGGCAGAAGTTAACTCGCGAGGCTGCAGGCTGGCTCCCCTGGGGAGTGTGTCTGCACCTGGCATTATTTTAGGTACTTTTCTGTGTTGCCGTGAGGCAGCCGTCTGTTAGGTGAGCAGTCTGCTGTCTCGCGTGTCCTCCATTGCCCAGTGTGTTTGGGTTTCTCAGTTTCTTTGTATGCAGTGTACACAGGGGTGCTCTGAATGAACCTGGGGTGTGCAACCTGGGGTGTGCATCAGCGTCGCGCGAGGGCTGTGAAAACAGCCCACCCCCACCTCCCGGCGCCCGAGGCTGCATGACCGGGGTGGGGGGGGGCTGAGAGCCTGCATTGCGCATGTGCTCCGCTCCCGGGGGGGGGGGGGGGACCTCGCTCAGCTTCGGGAAGCCTTTGCCTTGTGCTTCTGCTTCTGACGCCCACGGGTGTTGTGCACCCCCCCACGGAGCGCGGGGTCACCTATTCTTTCTCCTGGTCTGTGGGCTTCCGCCCGGCTTCCTCATCATGGTGGTCTGTGTTTTAGTTTCTTGTGTCCGCTTTTTAGAGTGTGCAGTCCAGGGGTTGGCACTTGGTGCAGATGCTCACGACGCCTGCGCCCATGTCAGAGTGCCTGGGTTCAAGTCCCGGCTCTGCTTCCAAGTCCAGCTTCCTGCACTGGCCGGCTCAAGCAGTTGGGTCCCTGCTGTCCGTGCGAGAGACCTGGATTGAGTTCTGGTCTCCTGACCCAGCCCCTACTGACGCGGGCACGGGGGCGTGAACCCCTGCAGATGGGGGCTTTTTCTCTGTCTCTTTCTGTCTCTCTGCCTTTTGTATTTTTGAAGTCTGTGACTGAATGGATTTTAGTTTATTCAACCAAGTTGTGCCGCCGTCGCCACAATTTCAGGACATTCTCATCCCCTCACAAAGATACCCGCAGCCACCCCAGCCGCTGGCAGCCCCGCTCCGCTTTCTGTCCGTTTGCCGAGTCTGGGTGTTCCGCGGGGACACGCATCGACAGCTGGCCCTGCGCGTCTGCCGTCTCTCGTTGGCATCGTCTTTTCAGAGTCACCCGTGGCGTGGCATGAATCAGAGTCCCATCGTGCAGCTGGAGCCGTGTTTCTCCGTTGGTGGGTGGGGTCCACGTGGTCCTTAGGGGCACACGTCCCTGAGTGCCTGCAGCTGGACGATGTCTCATGGCAGATGTCCCTGCAGGAGGCTCAGTCCTTCTGCTAGAATCTGAGCTGCCAGTGGGAGTCTCAGAGGTTCGCTCTGTGCTCTGCATTTCACACGAGTGTCCCATCTGACGCGAGAGCTGACTGCATGAAGTGGGCACGCGAGGTAACCGCATGAAGTGGGCGTGTGAGCTAACTGCGTGAAGTGGGCGCGCGAGCTAACTGCGTGAAGTGGGCGCATGAGCTAACCGCGTGAAGTGGGTGCTGTTAGCCCGCTTGTCAGCTGTCGCTCTGTGCTCTGCATTTCACACGAATGTCCCATCTGACACGCGAGGTAACCGCCTGAAGTGGGCGCTGTTAGCCCGCTTGTTAGCTGCAGTCCCAGAGGGCTTCAGAATATTTAATATCCACAGCCCCATTTCATCAGAGGCAGAGCGGGGATTTTTTTTTTTAATATTTATTTATTTGAAAGGCAGAGTGACAGAGGAGAACTCTGCTATCCTCGGTTCACTCCCCCAGTGGTTACAGGAGCTGGCACTGGTCCAAGCCGAAGCCAGGAGCTGGGAACTTCGTCCATGCTTCTCCTACTGGGTTGCAGGAATCTGATAGTGGGCCATCCTCTGCTGCCTTCCAGCATCCCGTATGGGCACCGGTTCAAGTCCCGGATGCTCCTATTCCAATCCAGCTCTCTGCTATGGCCTGGAAAACTGTGGGAGATGGCCCAAGTGCTTGGGCCCCTGCACCTGCATGGGAGACCCAGAAGCTGCTTCTGGCTCCTGACTTCGGATCAGCTCAGCTCAGCTCTGACTGTTGTGGCCATTTGGGGAGTGAACCAGCAGATGGAAGGCCTTTCTCTCTGTCTCTCCTTCTCTCTGTCTGTAACTCTACATCTCAAATAAATAAAGAAAATCTTAAAAAAAAAAAAAAAAAAAAGCAAAGCAGCTGGTACTCACACTGGCAGTCTGATGTGGGAGGCACAGCTCAGTCGGGCGGCCTCACCTGCTGGACCACAGCGCCCCCTCCAGAGCTGGGGTTGGAACCCAGGCAGTGAGCTGCCCGGCCACAGTGCTAGCTCAGAGGTGGTTGGCTCTCCTGGCCGCGTGGTTCAACCCCAGCACCCCCTGTCCTGGAGGAGCCGTCTGGCCAGGGGATGTCATTGAAAATGCTGTGACCAGTTCTCCCCGAGGTGGCTACCTTCCACACCTGAGCCAGTGTGCGTGCACGTGGGCACCTCTGGATCACAGTCTGATAGCACAGGGTGGGGCATCCTAGGTGTCTGTCTGTAGGGGACGGCACAGCTACAGGCATGCATGTTTAAACAGAAGGGAGCAGCTCTGTCTGCGTGAGGTTGAGCGGCTGTTGGTGGGGACAATGTGTCTGCGATCCCACTCCTGAGCTGCCGTGCCCCCGGGAAGGCGCGGAGGAGTGGCGGGTCGCCAGAGTGACCCTTTTCTTGTCTCCGCAGTTCCTGGCCAGGCTGACCGAGAGGTTCGTCTTGGGGGTGGATATGCTCGTGGAGACGTTGTGGAAAGTGTGGACAGAGCTCTTGGACGTCCTGGGACTTGACGGTAGGTGTGGGTCGTTCCTGTAAGGTGCTCTTTGATTCTGGTCGTCCATGAGGTCTGCAGCCGGTACCCTTGGTGGGTGGTCCAGGAGGAGGTTGGCGGAGGGCGAGGCGGTGGGCATTTGTTGTTGTGATAGTTGTACAGAGACAAGGCCCACCAGAGCTGCAGTTTCCCCGAAACTGCGGTGAGGTGTAGGGGTCCCCAGGAGGCCGCCCTACTACAGGCATGGTGCTCCGATGAAATGGATCCCTCAAGCCAGCGTAGTTATTTAGGCACCGGGATTTCATAGAGAATGGTTCACTCCCAGAATCCTCAGAAGGGCTGAAGCGGCACTTGGCCCTGGACACCGCCAAACTGGTCTGCCGGGGCTGCCGCCGCTGGGCCCGTTCCAGGGCGTACAGCTTCAGCCGTGAACCGAGCACCAGGAAGCCTCTGCCGGCAGCACAGAACTGGACTCCACACGCCGCTGCAGGACCCCCGAGGTTTCTGGACGCATGCGTGCCAGGGGAGCAGGAGGGTGGCCCCTGCCTCGCTCACTTTCCAAAGCCCCAGTACGGGGGCAGCTCCAGGGCGGAGCCCAGTCTGTCCAGCGCCTTGCTCCCAGGGGTGCTGGGCGACGTGGTCCTGGGAGGCTGGCTGGAGGGAGTGGGAATGGAAGCTGCGGGCAGTCGACCACACCCTCCGCGTGATGCAGATCGATCGCCGGGTGCAAGCTGATCTGTGTGTAGCCGAGAGGGCTGGTGCGGTTTAACCGCAGCGGGCACTGTCCCGCCCTCCTCGGATTCCTGGGAGGAGATGGACACTGGTCTTGGTGGGTGGTGGGGCAGAGGCAGGGAGGTAGCCTGGTTCTGGCCACCTTCGCACCCTCCCTCCGAGGTGGCCTGGCGGTATCCCTACCTGACCACGGGGCAGGGTTGGTGGCATGGCCTCAGGGTTCCATGAGTGACAGCTCCAGGTGTGCCCAGAAATGTTGCCCCTTTTTGTCCCAAGAGTCTCAGCGCGTCCCTCTGCCTGCCTTTGTCCCAGCATGCCCCATGCTCTTCCAGGTGGACAGGAGTTCCCAGAGTGGCCCCTCTGCTCTCCTTCTCTTCCCAGGGCCAAGGCCACTCTGTGCACTTGGCCTGCCCAGGTGGGCTCTCTTCCCAGCTCCACCACCCTGGTCCAGGCTGCCACTTCTGTTGCTAAGAAGTCTGTGGTGGCCTCCTACTCAGGGTCCCCAAGACCAGCTCCACCTCCAGGTCTGGTGAGTCCCTAGAGGGACTGAGCCGACAGCGTGCCTGTAGCTGTGTGTTGTTACGTCAGAAGGACACTGCCAACTGCAAAGGTGTGACGGGTGAAGTTCCAAGAGACCAGCTCTCCCCTCGGGGTCATGCAGGATGCGTGAAATTCCTCCAGCGGTGAGCTGTGACGACCCGTGTGGCTTTTGTCTGCTCGGAACGCTTGTGGGAGACCCGGCACGCAGGGTTCCTGTCCGGCTGGATGGGAATTCAGCAGCAGCTGTGTAGGTGCCCGTCTTTGGCAGGCTGTGCCCTTGCCCGGCTTGGTGCCTGGCACACAGCCCCCTTGCCAGACGAGCAGGATGTGGGTCCCACTGTAGCCAGTCATGGGTTGAAGTTGTGTCCATGTCTGAAGCCCCGGGACCTGTGAGTGGCCTTCTTGGAGACAGGATCGAGTTCACTGAGCTCCTCCTGCATTTGGGTGGATCCTAAATCCACTGCCCACGGTCCTTCTACAAAGTGGGGAATTCGCACACAGAGACACAAAGAAATAGAGAAGACGGCTGTCTGGAGAGAGAGGCAGAGGCCGCAGCGATGCAGCCTTGAGGCCGGGCACCCCTGTGTAGGTGGCAGGAGGGCTCCTCCCCCAGCCTGCAGATTAGCCCTGGCCTGCCGCCCTGGATCCTCGCCTCTGGCCTTCAGGGCTGTGGGGAAGGAATTGGTGGTGTTTGCAGCCCCCGGCGTGTGTGGTTTTGCGTGGCAGCCGCAGGACACTCACGCAGCCGTGCTGCCTGCAGACTCCCGGTGCCCCTGTGGGTCCTGGACACCCCCATTCTGCAGATGCGCACTGGCTGAAGGCCACAGCGGGGTGTGGTGCACTTGCTGTTTGTTGTCGCCCCTCAGCCCTGGGGGACCCATTTCCAGCCTTGAGTTTGTTGGGTTCAACTTTCGAGAGGCCTCTCCTGCTCAGGATGTCTCCCTGCTCAGGGTGAGGATTGGAGGCAGCGGTGTGGCCAATCGGGAGGGTGCTGTGTGGCCCTCAGCCCCTCCTGGGACTTGGCTGAGTCAACACAGGGCCTGGATGCAGCAATTGCATGCAATCCACTTCCACGGGCCCAGATCATTCCACTTCCAGTGTTTCCATCTGCGACCAGTGAATCCCGGAGAAGCAAAGCTGACTGCAAGGAGCTGCGTGCAGCTGAGGGCGAGACAGCGGCGCGGGAGCAGCCTCCTGACTGCGGACAGGACCGGAACCGAGCAAGCGTGTGCCTGTTCTTCATGAGAGCTGCTGGCACATCCCGGGGCTGAAACAACCCAGCTTGCATGTCGTGGTTTCCCCGTTGTCCGTGCTGCATGAGCTCAGAGCGTCAGAAGGCCTGGGGGATGTGTGTCTTGGGCAGGGAATCGTATACCAGAGTTACAGATTTGGCAGAAAAGGTTGCAGTGAGCAGCAGGCTCAAGTTTCCTCCTTCAGAATTTTTTGGGGTGTTGGTTAAAACGTCAAGTGCTGGGCCAGCATTGTGGTGCAACAGTTAAGCCGCCCCTTGTGATGTTGGCATCCCCGTATCGGAGTGCTGGCTGCTCTGCTTCTGGTCCCTGCCAGTGCACCTGGGAAGGCAACAGAAGGTGACCCAAGTCCTTGGGCACCTGCCACCATGTGGGAGACCTGGGTGGAGTTCCTGGCTCCAGGCTTCAGCCTGGTCCAGCGCCAGCTATTGTGGCCATTTGGGGAGCAAACCAGCAGATGGAAGACTTCTCTTTATCTTTCCCTCTCTCTCTGTTGCTCTACCTTTCAAATAATCTTTTTAAATAAAAAAGATGTCCGGTGCTCAGTGTGGGTATGCACGGGCACAGCCGTCGTCCTCTAGCTCTGCTGCCCCAAAGACTTTTCTGGAAGGGGAGCACTGGGAGTCAGAAGGGTGAGTTAGAGCCTCCCGCCTTCACCGGCTGGCGGCCTTCCTCGGAAGCCTGCGAGGCCTTCCGCACGGAAGGGGAAGATAGGCACACTGCTGCCAGGGTAGGCCAGCCAAGGTGGGTACTGGGCGCAGCCACACCCCGGCCCTTCCTGTCCCAGTGCCCCCGGGCAGGGGCCTTCACGTGGAAAGTGCTTCTTCCCTCACCGGCGTGTGGGGTGGACTGAGCCACGTGTGCCACGTGTGCACGTGGAGGGGACACGGGTCAGGGGGCCACGTGTGCACGTGGAGGGGACATTGGGGTCAGGGGGCCACGTGTGCACGTGGAGGGGACACTGCGGTCAGGAGGGCCACGTGTGCACGTGGAGGGGACACTGGGGTCAGGGGGCCACGTGTGCATGTGGAGGGGACACTGGAGTCAGGGGGCCATGTGTGCACGTGGAGGGGACACTGCGGTCGGGGGGGCCATGTGTGCACGTGGAGGGGACACTGGGGTCAGGGGGGCCACGTGTGCACGTGGAGGGGACACTGGATCAGGAGGGCCACGTGTGCACGTGGAGGGGACATTGGGGTCAGGGGGCCATGTGTGCACGTGGAGGGTACACTGCGGTCAGGGGGGCCACGTGTGCACGTGGAGGGGACACTGGGGTCAGGGGGGCCATGTGTGCACGTGGAGGGGACACTGGATCAGGAGGGCCACGTGTGCACGTGGAGGGGACACTGGGGTCAGGGGGGCCATGTGTGCACATGGAGGGGACACTGGGGTCAGGGGGGCCACGTGTGCATGTGGAGGGGACACTGCGGTCAGAGGGGCCACGTGTGCACGTGGAGGGGACACTGGATCAGGAGGGCCATGTGTGCACGTGGAGGGGACACCGGATCAGGGGGGCCATGTGTGCACGTGGAGGGAACACTGGATCGGGGGGCCATGTAGGCATGTGGAGGGGACACTGCGGTCAGGGGGCCATGTGTGCACGTGGAGGGGACACTGGATCGGGGGGCCATGTGTGCACGTGGAGGGGACACTGGGGTCAGGGGGGCCACGTGTGCACATGGAGGGGACACTGGGGTCGGGGGGGCCATGTGTGCACGTGGAGGGTACACTGCGGTCAGGGGGGCCACGTGTGCACGTGGAGGGGACACTGGAGTCAGGGGGGCCATGTGTGCACGTGGAGGGGACACGGGTCAGGGGGCCATGTGTGCACGTGGAGGGGACACTGGAGTCGGGGGGGCCATGTGTGCACGTGGAGGGGACACGGGTCAGGGGGCCATGTGTGCACGTGGAGGGGAAACTGGATCAGGGGGGCCATGTGTGCACGTGGAGGGGACACGGGTCAGGGGGCCATGTGTGCACGGGAGGGGGCGCAGTCAACCCGGAACTGCCCTGCAGAAAGACAGCAGAAGTTTGGGGCAGACCTGCTTGTCAGCTTGGGCTGGGCAGATGTCCCTCCCCACCTGTGTGGGTCTCTGGGTCCCCGAGACCCCTTGGATTCAGTAGTTTTTGTATCGGGGACACGGAGGTGATAAATTTTGATCACCCTGGATTTAAGCAGCCTCCTCCTAACATCCCATCCGTGTCTCTCTGCCTTGTCGGTGTGTGACTCCAGATGACGTGTGGCTGGCATTGTGTGAGTTCACGCAGGTGTGAGGATGCGGTCTCTGCCGAGAGGCCGGCGAGTGTGTGAACGGAAGCGCCACTGCTGTGCTCACTGCCGCCGGCTTCGCGTTGGGAAAGAGTGGTTTTCATGAAAATGTGCTCATCTGCGGGACCTGCCGCCTTCAGCAGCCTGGGCGGCTAGAGCAAATCCACGACCTCTAGGCAGCGGGCGTTTCTTTCCCACAGTCCTGGAGGTGCTGTAAGGACACCTCCCAGCGTCCGCCGTGGTGGAAGCGGTGACGGCTGGAGGGGCCGCTTCCATGGGCACCAGTCCCGTGTCCCTTTCATGGCCCGTCACCTCCCAGACCCCACCCCTAGGTGTCAGCAAGTGTTAGTTTCTGCGTCAGCTGCGGTGGGCAGAGCCCGTAGGAGCAGAAGCTCTCGAGGGTCTTCGGAACTGTGTGTTTTTTAGAGTGTGGAAGGGGACTGGCACTGTGGCGCAGTGGGTTAACCCCGCTGCCTGCGATGCCGACATCAGGAGCACTAGTTCCAGTCCTGGCTGCTCTGCTTCTGATCCGGCGTGTGGGGTGGACTGAGCCACGTGTGCTCTCTGCTAACGTACCTAAGAAAGCAGAGGAAGATGGCCAAGGGCTTGGGTCCCTGCACCCACGTGGAGACTTGGATGGAGATCTAGGCTTCTGGCTTTGGCCTGGCCTGGCCCTCCCATTGTGGCTATTTGGGGAGTGAACCAGCAGATGGAAAAATCTCTGTGTGTGACTCTGCCTTTGAAATATGCATATTAATATATATTTCAAATACATTTATTAATAAAGTATATATACTTTAAAGGCGGTAAAGCAAACCTGAGACCTAAAGGTTTGGGCCTGCTGGTGGACGGTACACGCGCTCGGGGTCTCGCTCACCTTTCCCTCGCTAACCGCCACCACGAGGAAGCAGTCAGGTAAACAGAGTGAAGTGCTGCTAGCAAATCAACCCGGAGAAGCACGGCTCCAGAACTTGCCTGCCCGGGCCCTCGTCAGCACCTGAGTGAGAGCGGAGGCCGACGTGGGGCGTGGGCTCAGGTCCTGCCGTGGCACACGGACACAGCTGCACATGTGTTTCCGGGTCGCTGGGAGACTCAGGCTGCCGTGGGACTGGCAACATGGCCGGGTGCAGTGCTGGTGCCCTGGTTCTGCGGACGATGCCGCTGTCATTCGAGGTGCACAATGGACTCCACGTGTGCCTGCAACCTGCGGGTGGACGTGAACACGGGAAGCGGGACGCGGCCGAGGCCCATAGTCGTGTGGCCCTCCGGCTTCGGTGGGAATGCTTGGATTTGACTGTTCTTTCAGCGTTTCCGTGGAGATTTCCCACACAGAACGTGCTGCTCCATTCACTCCGGTCTTCTGTTCTTAAGATCGATTGATTTATTTGAAAGGTAGTGAGTGAGTGAGCGAGTGCTTCCATCCGCTGGTTCACTCCCCAGAGGGCCACAATAGCTAGGGCTGGGCCAGGCTGAAGCCAGGAGCCAGGGGCTCCACGCAGGGCTCACGTACTTGGGCCGCCGCCTTCCTTGGCCTTCCCAGCTGCAGTAGCTGGGAGTCGGATCAGAGGCGCGGTAGCTGGGGCTCCAACTGGAGCTCTGACGTGGGAGGCAGGAATCCCAAGTGATGGCTGTACCCATTGGGCCACAGCACTGGCCCCGCCCTCCATTTTTTAAAAAAATTTAATATCTGTTTATTTATATAAGAGGAAGAGTTAGAGAGGGAGAGACCAGAGAGACAGGTCTTTGTCTGCTGGTTCACTCCCCAGATGGCTGCAATGGCCAAAGCTAGGCAGATCCAAAGCCAGGACAGGAGCTTCTGGGTCTCCTATGTGGGTGCAGGGGCCCAAGCACTTGGGCCATCTTCTTCTGCTTTCCCAGGCCAGAGCAGGGTAGTGGAGAAGCCGCGACTTGAACTTGTGCCCATATGGGATGCTGGCACTCTAGAAAGTCAGAGTTACACAGAGAGAAAAAGGGAGGCAGAGAGAGAGGGAGAGAGGTCTTCATCCGCTGGTTCACTCCCCAGTTGGCCACAACGGCCAGAGCTGGGCTGATCCAAAGCCAGGAGCTGCTTCTGCATCTCCCACGTGGGTGCAGGGGCCCAAGGACTTGGCCACCTTTCACTGCTTTCCCAGGCCACAGCAGAGAGCTGGATCAGAAGTGGAGCAGCTGGGACTCGAACCAGAGCCCATATGGGATGCCAGCACTGCAGGCGGTGGCTTTCCCCGCTACGTCATAGCGCCGGCCCTGGAGCCTTGACCTGTTACCACAGCGCCTACCCCTCGCCCTCCGTTTCTGACATGGAGCTCCATGAGCGGGTACTGGTTAGGGTTGGGTTCAGATTGAATAGCAGACGGAGCTAACAGTGGTTTACGTGAGCGGGAAGCTTAGTTCTGTTATGTGGACGCTCACAGGAAGGTGGCGGGCAGATGGTTGGCTCTGAGGCACATTGTCCTAAGGACCACGGCACCCTCCACGCTGTCCGTTCCCTTAGGGCTCGGGGGGAGGGGGGGGGGCTGTGCAGCTCTGGCTGTTGCACCATGTTCCTGTTACTTTTAGGGAAGGACCCTCAGCTGGCACAGAACACTGCCTCATACCTGTCCTTGGCCAGGACTGACTCTCGTAGCTGCAAGGGAAGCTCCACCCCAAACGGGACGATTATTGCCTTGGGAGTTGGCGGACAGTTTGGTGGCTGCCCTGTGTTGTCTCAGCTTTCTGTGATGGGGACGACACTCTCAGTCCCTCCCTCCGTCCTCCCTCCCTCCCTTCCTTCTTTATGATTGATTGATTGATGGATTTGAAAGGCAGAGAGAGACAGATCTTCCATCTGCTGGTTCATTCCCCAAATGGCTGCAATGGCCCAAACTGGGCCAGGCTGAAGCTGAGAGCCTGGAACTCCATCTGGGTCTCCCACGTGGGTGCAGGGGCCCCAGCACTTGGGCCATCCTCTGCTGCTCTCCCAGGTGCATTAGCAGGGAGCTGGATCAGAAGTGGAGCAGCCAGGACTCGAACCACATGGGATGCCAGCATCACAGGTGGCAGCCTAACCAGAACTGTGCCATGACGCCGGCCCCACCAGGGCCCTGTAGGCCCAGCGCCGGCTTGGAGAGATCCCTGAGTCCCATGTGAGTGACCGCCCTGCTTCTCTCTTCTGTCCCGCAGTCTCCAACCTGTCCCAGTACTTCAGTCCGGCCTCGGTGGCCAACAGCCCTGCCCGTGCCCTGCTGCTGGTGGGCGTGGTCCTCCTGGCCTACTGGTTCCTGTCTCTCACCCTGGGCTGCACCTTCAGCGTCCTGCACCTGCTGTTCGGTCGCTTCTTCTGGATCGTGCGGGTCGTCCTGTTCTCCATGTCGTGCGTGTACATCCTGCACAAGTACGAGGGCGAGCCCGAGAGCGCCGTGCTGCCGCTCTGCTTCGTCGTGGCCGTCTACTTCATGACCGGGCCCATGGGCTTGTACTGGCGCGGCAGCCCCAGCGGCCCCGGCGGCCCCGGCAGCCCCGGCGTGGAGGAGAAGCTGGAGCACCTGGAGAACCAGGTCCGGCTGCTCAACATCCGCCTCAACCGGGTGCTGGAGAGCCTGGACCGCAACAAGGACAAATGAAGGTCGGCCGGCCGCCTGGGTCCTCTTCCACCAGCGCGGGCTCTCGGAAAACCAAAAAGGAAGAAAAAAAATAGCAACAACCCTAAACACTCTTAATAAACACTGCTGAGCGAGACGGTGGCACTTTGGGAGGGTGTGAGGAGGGCGTCTGTCCGACGCCACGCCACGTGTCGGCAGCGGGAGGAACATTTTTTAAACAAAGGCTGTAACCATATTAGCTGTACAGTCAGAGAGATTTATCTGTGCATAGAGCATAATGTTACTTTTTCAAGCATTTAAATACATCTTTTGTAAGGCTTTTTTAATGCGGGCAGATGGAGTGAAGTTTATTAAGACTACGCTGAGGGGAGAGTGTGCTGCGCGTGTTTCGGGAAGGTCCCGGCGCGGTTGCCTCCGAGCGTGTGGACAGGCGGGTGAGGTCAGCGCGCGCGTTCTCAGGTTCCAAAGTGGAGCTGTGTTTTCCAGGTCCTTGGTTGCTGTTGACTTTGCAGATGTGCACACTTTGGCCTGAGGATAAAACACCCTCTCTCGGGTCCTAGCCGGCCCCGCCAGGCCCTGCAAAGCCCCGCTCCATTATCCTCGGGGAGGCCCGAGGTCCATTTTCCTCTGTCCTCGGATGTATTTTAACCTCCACATTCCTGAAAGGAAAATGCAAGGATGGGGCTGGGACACATCTCTGGGCCTGATGCCGAGAGTCGGGGAGGTGTTGAAGCCCCAGCGCCTGCTGGCCGACTCCCGGCTGTGGTCCGCGCGGGAACACTGCGCCCTCAGCTGCTTTGTTTGCTTGGTTTGGTTGTGGTTGACCCGGGACTCCTGGCCTTTGCTTGCTGCTCACAAAGCAGCCTGGGGTCATCAGGAGAGCCTGGTGTCGACGCGTGCTCTGTGCTTTTGGTCTGCAGAGCGCTGTGTCCTCGTTTGAGGTCATCTCTGGGTCCACGGTGGGTGGACAGCTGTGTGGGTCCCAGGCCGGGGAGCTTCGGGGAAGATGGGCCCTTGCTGGGATCTCACTGGGATCTCACTGGGAAGGGAGCTGGCTTTTGCAGGAGGCGGTTTTGCAGGCTGCTGGGGATGGCACCTGTCCCCCAGAGCCCTCCTGCGGATTCTCACGGACCCCTGTCAGATCTGGGGGTGCTCAGACCTCACGGTCGTCCAGGCGTCAGCCTGAAGGCTTAGCTGTCTGCCAGTTCCTGGGTAGCTTGTGTGTGAAGTTGTGTTTCAGGAAAAAGATGTCTGGAGCTTGTATTTCTAAGGTGCACATCACGGGACCCAGTCTCTCCTGCGTCCGGGTCTCCCTGTTCTCCAGGGTTGCCTGGCTGAGCCTTTATCCTGGACTCTGGATGGAAGCCATTCCAGTCTTGTCGTCAGACTCACAGCCGATCCACGTTGGCACAGGTATGAGCGACGTCCGTCCTTCCCTGCGACCGGCTGTGCCACCTTTAGGTGCCGAAACGCGGCCAGGGGAACACCGGCACCCTGCACCGCGCCAGGGAGCCGGGCCCTTGCCCTGCCTCCTCCCTTGTGGCCGCAGGGAGATGCCTGGTGGTGAAACCGTCCTGGGCTGGGTGTGGCCTCCCCTCTGCTCTCCCTCCCCGGCTTCCCCCGGGCGTGCAGGGCACTGAGCTCGCCAGGCGCAGACGGCCGTCAGCAGTTGGCTAAGGATGGACCCTGGAGCCCCTCCCGTTTTGGTTGCACTCGGGGGACAGCGGCGTCCTCGCTAGGGGGAACTGGTGACGCCGGAGCACTTGAGCCGAGCGCGTTATCTGGAGTTCTCATCGATGCCCTCGATGCCAGCTGCGAAACGTTTTTAGCGATTTTTAATACACAGATTCCACTTTTGTTCAGGAAAATTCTTGGCCCCAAATAGTTTGGGGTTTTTTCTTGGTTTATTTCTCCATCCCACAGAAGCTTTGTAGGGCATTTGGCCTCCCCTCGCCATCTCTCTTTTCTCACTTTTGTATGTGGAAAAATGTATTTTTGTACACACTTCTCATACCTGGAAGAGAAACTTGTAATCTTCAGGGCTGGAGGGTCGGCTAGAGCTGTGCTTCACGGGGTGTGATCCCAGACATTCCGGTGACAGTTGCTGGGGATCCGTTACCATGCTTCGATGTCTTCAGTTTCATGGTGTTGGCGTCCCCAGGCGCCAGTATCCCAGGAGCTAGCCTGTAGGGTGGGAGGCGTGGCCGGGCAGAGCCCTGGGTGTGTGCGGGCCTGGGGGGTCGCCGGGAGCCACGCTGCAATCCCTGGCATCTTGTCTTCACGCCTCTGCCGGGAATCGCTCCTGCAGCCACAGCATCGCGACAGCGGGCCTTGTGCGTCGTGCTGGGCTCTTCATCAGAGGGGTGACCGAGGGCCGGCGCCCAGAGGTGAATGCCACCGGGGAGGTTTTCACAGGGGGCCACGCAGGCGCTGTGCGGGGTGCAGGCTGGGGTCTGTCGTCGGGAGAGTTACAACGCGACTCGCAGGCCCAGGAGGGCTGCCATGAAGGCGTGGCAGAAGCCCTGTGCTCACCGGTGGGGCTGTCACTCAGCAGACCTCAGGAGAGGTGGAGTGTGACAGATGTCGGGCAGACAGCACAGCCTCTGAGGATGCGGCTGACGCTGCTCCTTGCTGGCGGGAACCCTGAATCCCTGCTTGGGGTGGGCTTCGTGGTGACAGCAGCCTCGCGGCTGCCACCTGCTGACGGACGTAACCAGAGCCAGCTGGTGGCAGGGGGCAGCAGGAGTTCCCAGGGCTCCTCCCAGCTTTTACCCAGAAGCGCGTCACCAGTTTGAGTGTGGACGTTCTGGTCTTCTCGTGTGAGTGGCAGAACGGCACAGACGTATGTTGCAGCGGGACCCTTACAGTTCGCCCTGGACGACGCCCGGCGTGCCAGGCGCAGCTTCTGGCGGGAAGGCCCGGCTTTGTTCCGACACTGGACTCTGTGCTTTGCTCCTCACTGGGTTTCGACACCAGGATCTGCAGTGGTACTGGCTTCTCTTGTGGTGGCACGAGCTGACTGTCGTTTGCATCGTCCACGGGGAACCCGTGGCGGCTCACGGCGTCATCGACCCTGTGTTCCGATGTCCTCTGTGCAGGGTCACAGGTTGCGCCGTGTCACTGTAACATCCACACGTGCGTCCCACGTGGTGCCATCGCTCCCGGGTGATGGCACCGGGATTAGCACACGCTTCCAGGCCAGCAAAGCAGCTATCTTCCTCGACTGGCATCACCCTGTGAGGTGAGGCACCTTGTCAAGAGCGCATTCACGATTCCACTCGTATTCGTGCTTTGGGTTATACATTTTATATAGCGTTAATTGGACGCTGTAGATCTGTTTGGTTTGAACACAGTGGTGTTTGTGCTTTTTAGTTCTATTTGGGAGACTGATTCTACAAGAACCTTAGACATTAATGTATTGGGCTTAGAATCATTTTTTTTTTTTTTTTGCAGTATCTACAATCTTATTTATTAAATCACTGGACTTGGTGTTATGTAGAGATATTTGTAGATTGATTTCAGAACAGAATTAGAATATTGTGGAAATTACGGCTTAATAAACGTTTGTTGTAATTTTGTTCCATGGGCTTTTCTTTTACATTTTATTTGGTATTACACCTTTAAATATTAATACATAGAGAACAGGTTTCGTGAATTTCACAGATACTTTCCTCCCCGTCTGGACTTCTTAAATACACTCCTCCCTCCCAGTGGAGCATCGGGGGATCCCCCAGTGACTCATGGCACCATTCTGGGCCCCGGTCAGGATGCCCGTGTTCCGTTCCCTTGGAGGTAGGCTTGCCGGCTTGAGATACAGCTGCCAGATTTGAATTTCAGATAAGCAACCCATGCTCTTTGTAGTAAAGTATATCCCAGTTTTTTTTTTTTTTTTTTTTTTGGGGGGGGGACAGGCAGAGTGGACAGTGAGAGAGAGAGACAGAGAGAAAGGTCTTCCTTTGCCGTTGGTTCACCCTCCAATGGCCACCGCGGCCGGTGCGCTGCGGCCGGTGCACCGCGCTGATCCGATGGCAGGAGCCAGGAGCCAGGTGCTTTTCCTGGTCTCCCATGGGGTGCAGGGCCCAAGCACCTGGGCCATCCTTCACTGCACTCCCTGGCCACAGCAGAGAGCTGGCCTGGAAGAGGGGCAACCGGGACAGAATCCGGCGCCCTGACCGGGACTAGAACCCGGTGTGCTGGCGCCGCTAGGCGGAGGATTAGCCTAGTGAGCTGCGGCGCCAGCCTATCCCAGTTTTTTTGTTTTTGTTTTTTTAATGATTTATTTGAAAGGCGGAATTGTAAGGACAGAGAGAGAGAGATCTTCCATCCACTGGTTCACTCCCCAAGAGGCTGAAAGGGCCAGGGCTGGGCCAGGCCCAAGCCAGGAGCCTACAGCTTTGTCTGGGTCTCCCATGTGGGTGGCAGGGGCCCAAGCACTTGGGCCATCTTCCGCCGCTTTTCCAGGCCATTAGCAGGGAGCTGGATCAGAAACAGAGCAGCCGGGACTCAAACCCCTGGTACTCACATGACGCCGGCGTCCCAGGTGGTGGCCTAACTAGTGCCATAGCACCGGCCCCTATATCCCAGATACTGCGTGGGACGTAATTATACTAAGACAGTATTGGCTGTTATCTGAACGTCAGACTCGTCCTGTGTGTGGGGTGGTGCGCCCCAGCAGGATGGAGCAGCTGTTACGAAGCCCTTGGCAGCACCCTGACCTCCTGTGTGGAAGATAGTTTCCCTACCAAACACTGGGCAAAGACGACGGGGGTGTAGCCCAGGAAGCGCACTCAGGAGCCCAGAGCACGGGCTGGGTGCACACGGCAAGCACCGCAAAGGAAGTCCCGCGCAGATCCACACGGGGCGGTTTGAGGCTGGACCCTGTGATGTAAGTTGGAGACTCATGGGCAGTGGTCACTGGGAGAGTGGGCAGGAGACGTGAGGGGGCCAGGCGGTTGGTGACCACACAGTGCAAGGTGTCCAGGCAGAAACCAGAACGAGTAGGAAGACAGCTCATTTGAATAAAATAAATACCTGTGATCAAAAGAACAGCTTTGTAAGAATGTATTTTTATTTTTAAAGACTTACTTATTTGAAAGGCAGAGTTAGAGAGGTAGAGACAGAGAGAGGTCCTCCATCTGCCGGCTCACTCCTCAAGTGGCCACAAGGGCCAGGGCTGGGCCAGGCTGAAGCCAGGAGCCAGGGGCCAGGAGCTTCTGTTGGGTCTCCCACGCAGATGCAGGGGCCCAAGGACTTGGGCCATCTTCTGCTGCTTTCCCAGGCCGCAGCAGAGAGCTGGATGGGAAGAGGAGCAGCCGGGACTGGAACC